GACATATCCACTCACATCTCTTAACTCTTCATCATACCAGGAAAGCTGAGACTGGCCTTTCCTGGCTTATGTTATGTGTGTGTGCAAACACACACACACACACACACACACACACGCACCCCACACCCTGCCACCAGCATTGCTCACCATCTCCCACCTGTGTCCTCCCTCTCCAACCTGCCCCTACTGACCATCTATTCCTCATATTCATATTTCTTGGGTTTTGTACTTCTATTAAGCTCTTAGATTTGGATCTAAGACGGTGACTGCCTTCATTGCCATTCCTTCCATAGCTCTGTTTGGACACATTCCCATGTCTTGACCGCATGTATCCACAGACGCCCCTGTGTCAGCTGCCTCTCCCAGGCAAGAGTAAGCCAGCAGTTTCTACCGAGCGCTTCAAGTGGGACAAACATTGTGCTCTTCACTCTAAAAGTATCATCTTATGAAATATTTATAACAACACTTGAGGTGGATTATATTAAGTCCAATTTAGAGATAAAGAAAAATTGAGTCTTAAAAAAAAGTGTAAGTGTGTTACCTGAGGTCAAATGACAAGGCAGCGATAGAGTTAGGGCTTGCTAACAGGTGTGCAGACAGCCAAGCCAGCGTGCGTGCGTGTGTGCGTGACAACTCTGGGACTGGGCCGCACCCACTGTGGCCTTCTCCTCTCAACATAGGGGACAGTCATGTGCATTCCTGCCTTGGTCCAGTGGAATTGACCCAGCTGGTGCAATTCTCCACATATCTGCTCCCTGAAGAAGAGGGGTCCAGTAGTTGATTTTACAGTGAACTGTGGTGAAGAGGAAATGACATTGCAGGGACCAGGGGCAGGCTGCCCCCAAATGTGCCACATTGGCATATTGATTATTTTGAATTAAATCTACTTAAAAAACGGCATTGCAAGAAGGACACTCAGACCCTCCTGTGTCCGCCTGAAAGCAGGAAAGAAACCTCCCACGTGAAAGGCACCCTCCTTGTTCCAGGAGACAGGGAGACATTCTTACCACCGGAGACGGGGAATTCAGAGCTGAGAAGCTTGTGTCAGTCCCTCTTGTTAGTTTTTACTAATTTACTACCGTAGCCCAAATTCTGTTTAGAGTTCCTTATTAATGGAAGCTCCCAAAGTTAAGTTTTCTTTGTCCTGTCAGTTCCTCACAGATTTATTGTTTCTTTGTCTAAAAGTATAAAAACTTCCTGCCTTGATCGTTTCCTTGGGTCTCAATTTCGTTATTGGGCCCCCAAAGAAAACTTTGGGGTTTTTTCTCAGGTAAATTTAATTTTTAGTCCAGCTAGAAGACCTTGAAAGGTAGGGGAAGAATTTTTCTTTCTCTTCAGCATCATTGTCTTTGATGCCTCAGAGACATCACTCACTTCTTGTGTCACCATGAACAAATTATATTATCCCTCTGAGTCTCATTTCCCTTGTCTGCAAAGTTCAGATGGCATAATTACTGACAATTTGTATGGATATCAAATGGAACAACATATGAAACCAGTTTGCACATTGCCAGGCACATAGGGAATGACTCATAAATGCATTTATAAATGCTAACTTTTTCCTCTCCCAGTTGTTGAGATCTGTGTCTTTAGTGCAATATGACTTTAAATTTTCTAGTCAATAAATGGAGAGATACAGAGCAAAAGTAAAATTAATAGGTTAGCAGGGTTTTTGTTAATATAAAGATGAATTTATGTAAGGGAACACAAATTAGCATTAATGTTTATCACAGAGGGAGGCAGAGTCTCAAAACAGCAAAGGAAAATTGCAAAAGGCAATAAGGTAACCTGGATAATTATTTTGGTAAAAGCAGGAAAAGGTGTTGGTGGCCAGTACCTTGACAAAAATTATACCAGTTTTCAGGACCTCCCTGCTGTTTCTTGGCAGGGTAGGTACTTTCAAGGTACAGAGCTGTATTTTTGCATATTGTAACATGTTGGGAAGGAAACTCATTTTTCCCAAGAAGATCAACATCAAAGTCCAAAGGGCAGTGGACTCAAAAATCAAGAGAACTGTTTTCTATTAGAGGTTCTATTGTTGGGAATTTACCTTCAGCAAATCCCTGAATTTTGGGGATTGTGATGTTCCATCTGTAAAATGAGAACTGCTGGTCTCTCTAAGAAGGGTTCAAACCTCGAATTATGTGGCACACACACACGGTAAGCTTGGGCTTCCTCCAACCATGGCGACCTCCAAGTAGTTAGACTTCCACAGTAACTCAGGACAGGTGGAGGGAAGGAGAATCTGCCTTAGAGGTCATCGAAGGCAGAGCCAAAACAGACATAATGTCATGCCTACCTTCCATTATTCATCAGAGCTGTCGTCAGTCAGCCCAGATTTGAGGAGGGAGCCCAGGCACCCTGTGTTCGAATGCAGCCGTCTTCAATCCTCCACAAAAGTAATGCATATTTAGTGTTCCCAATGACACGACTCCATTGAAAGACATGGAGCAGAACAGCTTGATGGTCTGTGAGCAGACCCGATGCCTGGTTTTGAATAATGACTGAGGAATGGATTCTCTGATGTGTAGAGGAAGAATTAAACATCCGAGGTATGGTGGACAAGAGTTGTACCTTGGACAGAGCTTGGGAGAATATGGACATTTGCATTTTCAAATATAGACTTTTCACTTTTCTGAATTAAATATTGAAGCAGATTAAAAAGGAACTAAAGAGACAAGGGAAGAAATAGGTTACCGGTCTCCTGTAACCTGAAAACCAAGAAATAGAGACACGAGGCAAGGAAACAATAGAGGGCAATTCAGATGAAATTTTTATGGAGGAAATTCTCACCTTATTTATTTCCAGAAAAAAAAAATGTTTACTGTGTTTCCATGATGCTTAAGACTGACCATTTGGAAGAAATGTATGTCCCAGAATTTTAAAAAAATAGAAGGAAAAGTAATTTGGGAAAGAGGAGGTAACCACTGGTGACTTATTGTATGCTAATAAACAAATTGCAACATATTAGGAAAAAATAAAGGGTAGACAGAAGTGTGATTAATATGAGATTTGCTTTATGGATTGACTGGTGTTTATTAATGGGCTTTGCTCACACTAACTAAAGATGCTGTATGTTGAATTCAGTTTATACCTCACATGAGAAATTGGCTTTCAAGATGAAAGGCCTTTTGTCCCAGTGATAATTCCATAAAATGAGCCTTGCCGCTATCCCTTACAGCCATGGATATTCAGTGTGTCTGTGGGTACTTCTTCGCAGGCATAGCCCCAACCATAGAGATTCTCCCAACTGTTACGTCTGGGGTAAAACCAGAAGTGTGGTTGGCTAAGAAGCACCCCAAAGATTCTGGAAAGCACTGCCCTATTATAACCCAAAAATTTGGCTTCTCCCCCAGAACCCCTATCTACCAACCATGGGATGTTCGTACGGTTAGTACATCTATTTTCCTGATAAGAAGGAAAACTTTGAAATGCACCAAATTGTGAAAAATATAAAAGTTGGTTACAATGTTCGCTACTTGGAGGCATCTTTTTAAAAGAATACCTTCAACAGGGCCAGACTTTTCAATTCACTGAGTAGGGCACATTTGTGGCAAGACATTGCCGATCTGGAAAGGTCTCGCTGCTAAAAATGTGAAATCAAATAAATATGTTCACACCCTTTAGCTTCATCTTCCATTAAATGTGAAAACCTCTTAGCTTTATGGGGCTCTAAAGGGCCTGTGAGACTGTATCAGGTGCTTTCCTGACAGCGTCTTGGAGGAAGGCTGTTCACACTGGACACAGAGTACGGCAAGTCTCGGAGGCGGGGCGAGCGGTGGGAAAGGGCCAGACCACGGGGAGCATACGGGTCTCTAAGGTTAGGCTTGACAGACATGATCTTTCCCGCTCCCACTTCTGCCAAATGTCAGGTATTAAATAAGGAGGAAATGTGAGGTTTTATTGATTAGAGGATTGCCCATTGCCCGTCAGAAAGTGAACATTTGCTCAGATTGCATCAGAGAAATGTGTACTTAGACCACATAAAATTATTTCTGGGTGTTTTTCTTTAAACCTGGTGTGAATCAATAAAAATACATTTCTCTCTCGAAAATGCAATGTAAATTATTGTTCTCTTTGAACTAATCATATGCGTGGGCACCTGAGGGACATTGTGTTGATCTCTGGGGCTAACGTTAAAATTTATGTTTCCAATAGGAAGATACGCCACACTTTCACCACAGAGCTTCTCAGGGAAAACACGTTTTTAATATGTAAAATATCCTATTTCAGGAGCACCGAAAAAGATCCATTTGAGAAAAGATCCATTGGGTGAGGGTGGGAGGAGGTGTCTGGAAAAATTGTAAGACACTGAAATGGGTGAAGAGGATTAATGGCGTCTTGTGTTGGGCACCATTTGGGAGTATCTGTTTCTGAAAGCACTTGCACCTCCAATCGGAGTTATTTTATAATTCAATAAATTGTAGAAAGCTGATAGTAATGCAAATAATTCTTGTTCATAGAAATGCAAATATACTTGTCCAGTGGCTACAACTGGTTATTATTCTGGCTGTTTACCAGCATTCCTGATTGTCTGTATGCCCTTTGAATTCTCCTTGGAATCAGTTGTACTATCTTTTTTGTTCCTTCCAAATTAATGAATGAGATCAAATCGTCTACAAGTGTTCATTTCATATGTTTGGAGTCATAATTTTACTTTTTTTTTTTAAAGTTAACCTTAAACAGCAAATTAGGCAGGTATCTGTAACAGATTCTGTCATGTGTCCCCCACATTTAACCCTCAACTTATTTTTTTATTAAGATTGTATTTATTTATTTGAGAGAGAGAGAAAGAGCACAAGCAGGGGGAGAAGTAGACTCGCTGCTGAGCGGGGAGCCCGATGCGGGGCTCGATCCCAGGTCCCTGGGATCACGACCGGAGCCGAAGGCAGACGTTTAACCGACTGAGCCACCCAGGCGCCCCAATGCTCAACTTCTAAAAGAGCAGATTTCATTCTCATATTTTACATAAAGCCTGACACATCTCCTTTTTCTTTTAGCTTCAGACGAGCCTGACTGAGCCAATGACGTTATCCAAATCGGTATCTCTTCCTCGCAGTGCATACTGGCATCACATCACTCGTCAGAACAGCGTTGGAGAGATCTACAGTCTGCAAGGCAAGTAACTTGAAAATAATAAAGCAGCACCTCCATTAGCCTCCTACTGGTGGGCCCGGAGTCATGCAAATTGCTTTGCTTGCTTTTCCTCCATTTTCATTTATCAGCTGTCACTGGCCACAGTGGGAGCTCTGAGATTTACAGTGGCTTTTCTAAAGCTATCACTTCATAGACTCACAGTAGAAATTATCCCAAAAGTCACTAAGGGCTGAAGACCCTATTTGGCACAGGAACTTGACTAGGACATTATACAAAACATATTATCAAAAGCTACAAGTAGCTGGTACTGGGGTCTGTTTCATGCCGTTTTACAAAGGATTTCTTTCTTAGCATCCTTTTTTCTAAATAGGATTGAATATCCGTTCAGGAGGCTGATTTCAGGCTCTGTAATAAAATGCTACATAAACCTACTCACAGAAGTCTTAAGGTTTATCCAAAACCTTGACATAGAAATAATTCTGGAGGGTGCAAGGCAGGAGACAAGTGTGAATACTTTGCTTCTGTGTTTTTCCTAATGATGAATGTGTAATCAACTAAAATGGGAATGGTTTACCAGATGAATCAGATTAATAGATAGCAGGTATTTCATCAAAAGCAGCACAAACCTCAGCTTTGGCATTTTTTTTCTCCTATTCTTTCCCTATCGTCTTAAAATGAATAATCTTATCCTTCAGATAAAATTTTCAGCGGCAAGCAGCTGACCAAGACTGAAGGAAGTGGGAACTTGGAAAAATAAGGCAACAAAACACATTCATCCAGCAAAGATTTTTTGAGCACAATACATTTGAACATAATAGGCACCCAATAAATATCTGGTGAAGAAATGACCGGTATGACCTTCAGCACAGTTAGGCATTCAGAATGTTTTTCCATTCATACTTTAACTTTTGCTCATATTAACAACAATAAGTGTTTCAACAACAACAACAAAATGTTTTGGTGACAAGGAAACTGAAATGGTGTATTTTTAAAGCAATGTTTGCTTGCCAGGATTTCCAACCTAGACTAATGGAATTTGGTCAGTGGGAATTAATGATTAAAGATATATTCTGCAAGGAAAAACAGAACAGTTTTAGTCATTTGTTGATGACAATTGCCTTTTATATTTTAAATGAACCCTCTTATGGGTAGTTATTATCTTTTTGTGTTGTTTCTTTTCATGAGAAAATCTTTAATAGGATAAGGAGTAGAGAGGATTGAGGGGGCTCTTGACAATTTTGTGGATCAGAAAGAGGAGACACATATCTTGCTTTTGCTTCCTTCTACAAACGCCAGCAACCACACGCTAAAACTGAGTCGTGATCTTGGGATTAAAAATAATTAGAAAATACACTTTTAATGTAACGTTATTTTTATTTAAACATAAACGTATATATGAAATGATTGTTAAAAAACAAAATTCAACTGAGTAAATTTTACGTATCATATTGGCTTTATTCAACGATTCATGAGCAGACAGCATGCCATCCAACAGATAGAAAAGAGGACTGAGGAGCTACATACAAAGAAAGACTTCTATAGGCAAAAGGAGCAGGGACAAGGAGGTTCTACTGGCCAAGAATGGATTTGGTGTAGCAAGGTCACTTTCCTTTAGGGGATGGCAGGAGTCTGTCGACCGATGACCTCACTACTACTGACCAGGTAGTTCCCACTGATTGGTTTAAGATTCTTTTTCTGGGAGAGCTGAATGTGTAATTCAGTTATGTGCTAAGTCTCAGGTGGGCGTTTTGGGGCTTAGCCTAAGTGACTCCATATTGAGCCTATTGTCTTGTTTTTAACAATATCAATATTTAATGAAGTAAAAATAAAACCATGGGACATTTTCATGAGGAAATACAAATGAGCAAATTTCTAAGCAAAAAGAAAGTCAGATGTTAATACAAATAAGTTCAAAAAAGGTTGGAGCCAATGTAGTGATAACTTTGGTTTTCGACAAGAGTTTGGTCTGTAATTCCAGCAAATGAAAGATTGTTGTTGTCATGGTAGTGTGTGGGGAACTTTTCTCTGAAAGGAGAGCTGACATTTAGACTGATGCACAACATCAGAAATAATTTCGTATGCATCCAGCAAAAAATGCCAGAACACATTTAAATTTCTCAAAATATCGATGAAGACTTGCAGGGGGACAGTGTTGACTTACAATACGATAGAATCAATAACAGTTTGGACACTCTGGGATCTATCTCACGGATACTAATTTCCAGCAAAGGTAAGGATTTAAATGCTCTATCAATTATGATGAAGAGTTTGCCTGTGAAGTCTCAATAGCACATTCTTCCTTGGTTGGTGGTTGTTCTGTGTAACAAAGAAATATGCATCGATTAAGTTGAGTACTACAAGTCCAATAAATATAGAATGTATTTGATGTAAATTACAGTTCACTCCACTATGGCTGCACTTTTATACTGTATGCTGCTTAGAGCAATATGTTTTACCATTTTACATACCCCTCATTTTATGGGTATATCATAGAGAGAGAGATATAGATAGATGGATAGCTAGATCATCAGTAAGTAGATTATATAGAGATAGATAAGGATGTAAACTTGTTAGTGATGCTTTGACAAAGCTGATATATTTTACTATCCTTTTGTTCTGTTGAAGTAGTCAAGGTAAGCAGAGGACAAGAGTCCTTTGACCATAGTGTTTTGTTGTTTTGTTTTTGTTTTTGTTTTTGTTTTGGTGTGTAATTGGCACAGACTTCACCCTCATGGAATCAGGGCATGATAAAACTACCAAAACAGGAAATAAAAATGGAAAAAGTGAGGCTTAGCCCCCCTTCTTCATACACATCTACATTTTTTTTCAAGAAACTACATTTGATGCTTCCAATCTGAGTTATTTTATAACTCAATAAATTGCAAAAACCAAAAGGAGAACATAGTCTGATTTTCCAGAGTCAAAGGTAAAATGGGCGATGGTGGGTGTGACATCGTCAAGTAAACTGCAGGTAGCATTGAGGAATAAAAATGTGTCTTTAGAATTTTTCATCATATTTTCTACATTCTAACTGTGAAGCTGAGATCAATATGAATTAAATTCAGCAGGCTTTCATTCAGAAGGTAAAGGTGGAAAAGCTTTCTATATCTAAAGCTTCATAGATTGGGATTCATTAAGAAGCAGCACATGTACTAGAACTGAAAAAATATTCATGGTGTGAAAACAAATCTATTCCACATTATGACATACCTATAACTTCAATTGCCTGTCACCCTCAAAACCGTGCTTGCTCAGGTCTATTGGATTCATTTCTGTCATCTGTTCTATAACTATAGAAGCGAGATACTCTCTAAAAGACCAACGTATCAATACTGACATCCTGCATTTACTTTAATGTTTGGAAAAGAATATAATATAATCTACTAAATCTCTCCATGCTTCTCCATGGTGCTCTGAAAGTGTAAGTTTTTATGGTTTCTGTCTTGTGCGCCAGCTCTCTGAAGTCAAAAGACTAACAAAAAGAATAATTCGCTTTAACAAGTACAAGTTAGCTAAGGACTAAGCAGCTACTATGGAAAATCCCTCCCCCTGGGCGCCTGGGTGGCTCAGTTGGTTAGGCGACTGCCTTCGGCTCAGGTCATGATCCTGGAGTCCCGGGATCGAGTCCCGCATCGGGCTCCCTGCTCGGCAGGGAGTCTGCTTCTCCCTCTGGCCCTCCCCCCTCTCATGCTCTGTCTCTCTCATTCTCTCTTCTCAAATAAATAAATTAAAAAAAATAAAAAAGATAAAAAAAAAAAAAGAAGGGAGAGGGAGAAATGGGTGAAGAGGATTAAGAGCCCACTGAGTAATTCTTGGAATTGTTGAATCGCTATATTGTACACTTGAAATTCATGTAACACTGTATGTTACCTATACTGGAATAATTTTTTTTTTTAAAAAAAAGGAGGCTCTCAGTCGCAAATGCAACCTTGCATGCACAGATCCTATGAGGGATTGCCTCCTCAAATGGTGCGCTCTGGGCCAAAAGAAAAAAGAGAATGTGAGAAGCAGCCCCGCCATGGGGTGCAGTCTGATAAACCAGGTGGCGCATGAGATGGGGCTACTGGGTAAATGCATTGACACACCATCCTAATTTTCTTGGAGTCTCAGATTACTAGGCAGCAGAAGCCCCTGGGGTGAGTCAGAAAGAGAAACAAAGACATCGAGTTTTGCAGTGTTCCACCAGAGAGGGTGAACAGCAGTCATCGCTTGAAACACAAAGGTCTGGGAGGCTTTACAGACCACCCCAACCTCCAGACTTGCCCAGATGTCCAGTCAAAGGCAAGACCTGGACCTAGCACCAAGGACCATCCAGTTTGGTCAGAGAGTCTGAGATGATAAATCCAAATGAAAGGACTTCTTGCCCCTCATCTGTCGCCCCTCGCCACACTTCAGAAGAAACATAAGCTCTAGAGACAGCTGTCTCATTCACCAACAAGCCAAAGCAGAAGAGCTTCCACATAAGATCTGTGAGTAGACAATGCAGATAGTTTAAAGGAGAAAGAAAATTAACAAAGGGAAAATGAAGAAAAATTCTTAAAATACTTCTCTATACACTCAGAAAGTAATGAAAAGATGCACTCTTTGGAGAACAGTTGAAAAGAGTTACAAGAAATCCAAGAATAGAGAAGGCAATAGGAAGGATATAAAGTGGGTTAGAGCCCTCAGCAAGGTAAATTAAAAATAACAAAAAATCCTTCTCACAAATGGAACTATCTTATAAGCACTTGGGAGTCCAGTATTTGTAGTTGAAAAAGCCTGTAACAACTTCAGGAAATAATAGACATGGATAAAGTAACAAAGAAATGGAAGCAATTAGAAAGGGAAAATAATAGAATATGTGTATGACGTATATATTTGGTGTATTTATCAGTATATAAATAATAGCATACACAAGTATATATGCCAAGTACAGAATTGAACAGACAGATCTTCCTAAAATGGCAAATAAAGACAAGATGTATGTAAAAATTTTGCTGAAATAAAGGAAGACTTGGTTCTTCGCTCAGGTTCTCTGCCAA